CAAGGTGGACACCCCCTGCATCGGGAGCCCCTTCTTCTTCGGCTTGCCCAACTCCTCGGTGGCCATGGAGGAGCTGAACACGACCCACGACACGGCGTCGCTCACGGACACGGTGAGCTGGGGATCCCCCGGGGCAGCCTTGATCCCGGGATGAGCCCCTTCCCTGACTGCTGCTCCCTCTCTTGCGCAGAGAAACGCCTACATGATCGCTGCGGGGGTCATCGGGGGGCTCTACATCCTCTGTGCCCTCATCCTGCTGCTGGGCGTGAGGGAGAGGAGAGGTGAGGCTGGAATGTTTGGAATTTCTTGTGGAAACGCTGCTGTTCCTCCCTCTCCAGGGGTCTGGCCGAGGTTTTGGCCCCTCGTTTGTGGGGTCTCCCTGAGGAGAGGGCAGGTGAAGCTGAGCTCTGGGTCTGGGGAGGTGCTGCAGAAGGGCAGGAGAGCAGAGCACTCTGGGGGCTGTTAGATAACCTTTATCTCACCCATTTCTGCCTGGCCAAGGCTGGCAGTGCCAGCCAGGGCATCCCAGGGGGGGACGTGATATCCAAACTTCTGTCCTTCCCTCTCCCTGCTCATCCTGGGGGAATCCGTGGGGCTGGGGGACCCCGGCTGAGGGCAGGGCTTGCTCTGACTCCCTTGGGCTGGGCTGCTGTGGGTGGGCAGGGGTTGTGGGGGGCAGGATGGGGCACCCATGGGTGCTGTTTTGGGGGGGATCTAACCCTGGGCTGATCTCTGCTCCCCAGAGTCCTCCGAGCTGCAGTCGGACGAGCCTGTCTCCTTCTTCCAGGGGCTGAAGCTGGTGATGAACCACGGGCCCTACATCAGGCTCATCGCCGGCTTCCTCTTCACCTCGCTGGCCTTCATGGTGAGCTGGAGGTGCTGGGGACAGGGAGCAGCGTGGGGGTGGCTGTGGGGACAATCCCAGGGCTGGGAGCACGTGATGGATGAACCGGAGCTGCCCCGGGTGCAGGGAGGAGGATGTGGCCTCCTGCCCTCGGTGAATGGCCGCTTTCTTCCCCTGCCTGAGCTCTGTGAGGACAGACGTGTCCCCCCTGACCCCTGGCTGCCTTTTCCACAGCTGCTGGAGGGAAACTTCGCCCTCTTCTGCACCTACACCCTGGGATTCCGCAACGAGTTCCAGAACATCCTCCTGGCCATCATGGTGGGTACGGCCCCGTCCTGGGGGCTGGCATGGGCTCCAGGGGCTGAGGGGAGGGACAGGGACACAGGGACACTGATCAGAGGTGGCCTGGGAGCAGGGCAAGGAGAAGCAGCTGCCAAATGTCCTGCAAGGGCCGGGTGGGTTGGCAGGAACAGCGGGGCCTTTGTTCCTGTGTGAACAAGGCCACAGACGGGGGAGACCAGGAGCCATGGGGGCCTTTTGTCCAAATCCTGCCACTTGTCTCCCTCCCATCCCCGCTTTGAGAAAAGGATCTCAGTGTTTACTGCCAGGAACATGGAGCAAAACAGCTCCTTGGGAGCTCTTTCCAGCTTGCCTCATTCCTGTTCTGTCCTCAGCGGGGTGGAAGGGCCCAAGGTGGCCGCAGGGCCACGCTGTGCGCGGGTGACAAGACCAGCACCGAGGATCGAGTCAGATCCTCGCTCTGTCGGGACAGGTGCGCTGCCAGGGCTGTGCACTGGGGCAGGAGGTGGCCCCACACACCTCTTGTGGCTTTGTGCCAGCCCCAGGAGCGTGTGGAAATCGCAGGTGCTGGAATTTGGGATGGGAGGAGGCCGTGCCAGGAGCTGGTCCTTGCTGGGACGGGCCTTTCCCGTAGAGAGGAGCCAACCATGACCCTTCTCTTCCCACAGCTCTCGGCCACCTTGACCATTCCCTTCTGGCAGTGGTTCCTGACCCATTTTGGGAAGAAGACAGCTGTCTACGTGGGCATCTCCGTGAGTGTCCCCTCAGGCGTGGGCTCTTTGCCACACGGGATGAGCAGAGCTCCCCCAGAAGAGCACAGAGCTGGGCAGGGGCTGCTGCTGATGACAATTTGGTGCCTGTCCCTCCTCCTGCTGTTTGTGCTGTCCTGGGGCTCAGGGAGGGGGACACTGCACCCCTGGCTGTCCCCACAGCTGAAGGGCTGGGAAAAGCCAGGAGGGTCTGGGCCAGGCCCTGCTGATGCCAACCTGTCCCTCTGCAGTCTGCCATCCCCTTCCTCATCATGGTGGTTGTCCTGGACAGTAACCTCTTTGTCACCTATGTCGTGGCCGTCGCCGCCGGGATCAGCGTGGCAGCCGCCTTCCTCCTGCCCTGGTGAGTGTGAGGGGCTGGGCAAGGGGCTTTCTGAGGTTGAAAACCCTCAGAAGGGTTTTTTGGCAGTGCCTTCAGCCCCAGGTGGGGCTCTGCTCTCGGCACTGAGGAGGTGCTTTGCTGTCTCAGTCCTGGTGGTCACCGTCCCTCTCTCTGCACAGGTCCATGCTGCCAGATGTCATCGATGACTTCAAGCTGCAGCACCCCAGCTCCCACGGCCATGAGGCCATCTTCTTCTCCTTCTATGTCTTCTTCACCAAGTTCACTGCTGGGGTCTCCCTGGGCATCTCCACGCTCAGCCTGGAGTGAGTTCCTGCGTGGGAGCTGAGGGGAGGGCAGGGAGAGGGAACTCCCCAAGCTCTGGGAGGGAGCTGATGGGGTCTAAATGCACTTGTGGCTCCAAAGCTCTCCCCACAGGGAGCAGCTCAGCTCCTGCAAACCCTTTTTCCTTTGCCTGACAAACCCTCTTTTCCTTTCTGCCCACAGTTTTGCGGGGTACCAGACCCGGGGCTGTTCCCAGCCTGGCCAGGTGAACTTCACCCTGAAGATGTTGGTGTCTGCTGTTCCCGTGGGGCTGATCCTGCTGAGCCTGCTGCTCTTCAAGCTGTATCCCATCGACGAGGAGAAGCGGAAGAAAAACAAGAAAGCCCTGCAGGATTTAAGGTGTCAGGCGTGTGGGGGGGTGTGTGTGTGTGGGGGCAGGACCAGACGGGTTGGGACACACTGTGACTTGTCCAGGAATCTTCCAGGACCCGTGGGAGGTGGCGTGAGGGATGGGCTGCCTTGTTTTCCCAATCCCAGCTTCCAAAGGGATGGTGTGAAGTGTTGGGAGATCAGGAACCCGCCCCAGCTGCCACCCCAAACTCCTGTGGGGGCTGCACGAGGTGCTGACGTCCCTCTGGAGCCTCCTGTACCCCAAGGCAGATATTACTGGGATGGAGACCTATGGCTCAATCCATGCCTCATTGCCAACCCTTTCCCCCAGGGAGGAGAGCAACAGCAGCTCGGAGTCGGACAACACAGAACTGGCCAGCATCGTGTGAGCCGGGCTGGGTCTGTCTGCCCACGCTGGGGCTCCCCAAGGACTCGTCCCCTCCGGGCTGGCCCAGCCTGGTGCCACTGGAGGTGCTGGAGGAGCCGTGTGGAGCATCCACTGCCTGGAACTCGGGATCTGTGCCCGTCCTGTGCCTTGCACGGGGCCCACAGAGCGCTGGTAGTGTACATTACACACATGGTGGTGCCTCACCGCAGACAAACACTCTCCCTGCCGGGCTCTGGAGGGCAGGGAAGGCCAGATTTGGGATGGTTTTGCCTGGAACAGCCGTGCCCAGTGCCCTGCCTGGGGGTGATCGTTAGTGTACATTACACTGTCAGTGTGCCCAGGACGTGAGCTCACCTCTGCTGTCTCTACACAGGGCACTAATGTGGGAGCTGTTCTTTTTTTTTTTTTTACATAGCCTAATTAACTTAATGATGTAAATATGGAGCTGTTTCCTGTTTGTATATATCTGTACAGAACCCAAACCCGAGGACCTGTTAATATTAATTTACATAAAAGTGGGGGAAGTCGGCAGCGCGTGTGAAGAATTTTTTTTTCCTTTTTCTCTCTGCTGGGATTTTTCACGGCTGTCAGCCAGCCCAGGGTCCCTTTACACACCACAGGGTGCAGGATTGACTTTTCCTGAGCTGTGGAGCAGGAATGCCATAATCCAGGCAGGGAGGCTGTGCTCAGCCCCTTGCCCCCGTGCAGCTCCTTGCTCGGTGCCTGTGTCGCAGCCATCCAACAAAGGCTCTATTATTTCCTCCTTTTCAAGAGGGGAACGGGGGTGGAGGGAGGAATGAAATCAAAGTGCTGCCAGCAGAGCTGGTGAACTCCAGGCTGGAAACAGGAGAGGCAGCTGGGGAGCGGAGAGAAAGGGAATGTGGGCTGTGGGTGACACTCAACACTGGCTGCTGGGGCAGAGTGCCGGGGAGCACTAATCTCCTGGATATTTATACCCTCCTCTCGCATTCCCTGCTCCCACAGCACAAAGGGGGAGAGCCCTGCCCTCCCCAACGCCTCCAGCAGCAAGTGGAACTCCAGAAAAGGGGGCTGGAGGCAGTGCAGGGATGAAGCAGCCACCCCCACCATGGATGGATGGGGTGAATTCCCAGCTGGTGCTGGCTCTGCTCTGTCCCCGAGGCCACTGCAGAGGGGACAGGGCTGCTGCCTTCGGGTCACACCGAGAAGTTGGTGGGGCCAGGGCTGAGCTGAGAGTGGGGGGGGGTTTGGGGCTCATCCTTTGTTCCACATTTGGGTACAAAGGACAGGAATGAGGATGGAGTTTAAAAATAGCCAGAGGGATCAGCTGGGAATGCTCCCCCAGGCCCCACTCTGCCCCTGTGGCTGGGAAAGAGGGCAGAGGGATGGTGTGGAGAGGCTGGGAGCTGGTTTTGTGCTCAGCAGGGCCATGGGGCAGGGCTGGGGAGCTCCCTGCAGCAAAGGGACGAGGGCAGGACAGCAGGGGGACAAAGCCAGTGCTCTCTGCAGCCCCTGTGATGGTGCAGGTGCGTGTCAGGAGCACCCTCTGCATGAAGAGGAGGAGGAGGAAGGCTCCAGCAAACACAGAGCTCAGGGTTGTTGGGAATGTTCTGACCCCTGCACTGCTCCTGGCCATGACCTGGCTGCCTCTGAGGGGTGTGGGCAGTGCTGCAGCCTCCAAGGATTTGAAAGATCGCTGCGAGCCTTTGTTTTTTCTCAGAAGTGTTTCAAGAGGAAAAAAGGGACATTTTATTCTTTGCCTCCTTGTTTTTTTGGCTCTTCACGAGGAGGAGTCTCTGTTCAGGTTTTTTTTTTTTTTTTACAGCCCAAAAGAGTAAAACCATCCAGAGGAGTTTGAGCTGGGGCCTGGATATTCCTCCCTTCTCCCAGAAGAGAACAACTCTTCTGTTTAAAGCTTTAAAGGAAATGAGAAGTGGGGGGGAAAGTGTCCATGAGAATTGATAACACTCGAGCCCTGGGCAAAGCTCCAGCCTGGGAGCTGGGATCCTGCTCCAGCTGTGGCTACAGAGGGTTTCTTACCAAGACTGGAGAAGAAATGGGTGGCAAAAAACGCACGGGGAGGTGCTGCCTGCACCTACAGCTGTGCTCTGGCTAAATCCACACACACCTTGGGCGTGGAACAAATGCATCCAAGTGCTGGGAAGCACCTCCCTGCAGAGCTGGGCTGGCAGGGCTGCTGTGTCCTCCAGGTGAGGGGCAAGGAATCAGTGTGGAAAACAAATGGAAAACATTTTCAGCTGTGTGCTCACACCTATCAGCCCTGGATCCCAGCTCTGGGCTCCAGCAGGCCCCTGGGCCAGCCCTGAGCTTGGGGGGGTCTGTGCAGGAGGGGAGCAGAGGGTTTCTGGTGTGCTCTGGGGCCCAGATGACTGCCAGAGGGACAAAATCAAACATCATTTGGAGCTCCAAAAGGCAGCACGTGAACCTGCAGAACTCCATCCCCTGGCACCAAGGGGCAGGACCTCACTGCCTCAGGAGGATGAAGGCAGGAGGGACAAGTCCAGAGGTGACAGCTGGGTCTGTTTACCCTGCAGGAGAAAAAAGTGCAAGTGTGAAGAGTTTCTCCTTGCAGAGGGTGAGGAATAACCTCTCTCCTTATCTGCAGGGAAAGGGCAAAAAATCCCCGGGTTTTTCTGGCTGCAGGATTTGTGAAATGTTCCAGTGGCTGCTGCTGAGGATGGATTTCCCTGGGCTGGAAGGACCCAGGAGCAGCAGGAATCACCCAGGACTGGTTTGGGACACCTCAAGCTGAACCAAGCAGGGGTTCCCGAAGGAAAGGGGTGTCACCCCAGAGTCCCCAGGGTGGCTCCAGCTGGAAATTAGCTCAGCTTTGGAAGTTCTGGGAAGCAGGAATGCTGGAGCAGGGCTGTGCTCAGGACAAACGCTGGGCTCTGTCACCTCACGGGGACAGCAGCATTAACCCAGGCCAGCTGTGCAGGATGGGTGTCACAGCTGTCCCCAGGGGTCACCCTGTCTGTGCCACCAGGCTGAGGTCACTCACATCATCCGCAAACACAGGCTGACGTGTTTCGCTGGGCTTTGGTTAATGTTTTGCAAAAGCCGTGGTTCCCAAGGTTGTTGGCAGCCCCAGGACTCTGCACACAGGCAGGAACGATGGAGCAGTGACGTGCTCTCCTGCTGGAAAGGAAAACCCATAAATGCATTTTCCCAGGGATGGAGAGCTGGGCTGCAGCTCGGACAAGTGCCCTGCACACCCCAAAACAAGGGACAAGCGCCCTGCACACCCCACAAGGGACAAGTGCCCTGCACACCCCAAAACAAGGGATAAGCGCTCTCCTGCGGCTGCAAAAAGCCAAAGGCTGCTGTGTGAGGGACGCAGAGACATTTTAGATAAAACACAGCTGAGAAACGAAGCAAAGATTCTCCCGGTGCTTGGAGATGGGGGTGAGGCAGCAGACACGTGGCAGGGATGCGGAGCAGGTTTTACGGGAGATGACCTTCCCAAATGTAAACACGCAGCTCCTCCGTGCCCCAGCCTTACCGGGAACTCGATCTTTGCTCTTCCAGGAGCCGCGTTCAGCCGGACAGACGGAGCCCAGCAGCAAAGAGCGCCGGGGCTGGGCTGTGCCATCCCCGGGAGCCGCGCTCTCCTCTCCCCCTGCTCAGCTTTCCTTCCTCCCCCCTTCTCTGGGATTTCTCCTTCCTCTTCCCCTGGATCCAGCACTGAAGGACAGCTCCTGCCCACCCGGACTTTTGGGATGCTGTAAAACACTTTTTGAGAGTGCTGGTGCCTCATTTTCTATTTCGCGTCTCGGTCTGGTGGTGATGGAGACAGGACAAGGGGCACAGCGAGGGTGGGCAAGGTGGAAAACGGGGCCAGAAAAGCAGCCAGCAGCCTGGGTGAGTGCGGGAGCCCGGCTGGGAAGGATGGGGTGAGGACAGCGGGGCAGTGCGGGGAGCTGGGGGGATCCCAAGGAAAGGGGGATAGCCGTGAGCTGACACCCGGCAGAGCAGGGAAATGAAACCCTCGGAGGTTTTGGATGTCCCGCAGCGGGAGCCGGGACCTGCAGAGCCTCACTAGGTGTCAGCAGAGCCCCGCCGCCGCTCCCGGAGCATCTTCGGGAGCGCAGCCGGGCAGGAAGCGGCGGCCCAGGCTTCTCCTCCTCCTCCCCAGCCTGACAACGTGTCCCTGTCCTTCCCGGGACAGTGTCCCTGTCCTTCCCGGGACAGTGTCCCTGTCCTCACCGGGACAGTGTCCCATCCTTCACCGGGACAGTGTCCCTGTCCTCACCGGGACAGTGTCCCTGTCCTCACCAGGACAGTGTCACATCTCTCACCAGGACAATGTCCCTCTCCTTCCCAGGATAGTGTCCCATCCCTCTCCAGGAAAGTGTCCCTCTCTTTCCCAGGACAGTGCCCCATCCCTCACCAGGACAGTGTCCCTGTCCTTCCTGGGACAGTGTCCCTGCTCTTCCCGGGACAGTGTCCCTGTCCTTCCTGGGACAATGTCCCATCCTTCACCGGGACAGTGTCCCTGTCCTCACCGGGACAGTGTCCCTGTCCTTCCTGGGACAGTGTCCCTGTCCTTCCCGGGACAGTGTCCCATCCTTCACCGGGACAGTGTCCCTGTCCTCACCGGGACAGTGTCCCTGTCCTCACCGGGACAGTGTCCCTGTCCTCACCAGGACAGTGTCACATCTCTCACCAGGACAATGTCCCTCTCCTTCCCAGGATAGTGTCCCATCCCTCTCCAGGAAAGTGTCCCTCTCTTTCCCAGGACAGTGCCCCATCCCTCACCAGGACAGTGTCCCTGTCCTTCCTGGGACAGTGTCCCTGCTCTTCCCGGGACAGTGTCCCTGTCCTTCCTGGGACAATGTCCCATCCCTTACCAGGACAATGTCCCACCCCTCACCGGGACAATGTCCCATCCCTCACCAGGACAGTGTCCCTGTCCTTCCTGGGACAATGTCCCATCCCTTAGCAGGACAATGTCCCATCCCTCACCGGGACAGTGTCCCTGTCCCTCCTGGGACAGTGTCCCTGCTCTTCCCGGGACAGTGTCCCTGCTCTTCCCGGGACAGTGTCCCTGTTCTTCCCGGGACAGTGTCCCATCCTTCACCGGGACAGTGTCACACCCCTCCAGCGCTGCTCCACACAGACCCCCGGCTCCGAGGGAGGATCCCAGCCCATCCCGGGGGCTGCTGGAAACACCAAGCTCCGGTGCCAACTGCTGCAGCACGGCAGTGAACTCTTTTGGGAGCATGTCCTGGAAGCAGACAGCGGAACCCTCCGTGGGAACAATCCGTGCCACTCCAGCATCTCTTCCTCCATCCCCATCGTTTATCCCTTGACCACCCCGGTCTCAGACTGTCCAGCCACCAAGCTGGGGTGATCTTTATCCCTCCTCGGGGGTCTGGGAGCTCAGGGCTCCCAAGTTCTCTGTCCCCCTGGATGCACAGGAGCCTCCCGCTTTTGTGATGCTTGGGATGAGGCAGCAATGCCAACCACCCCTGGCACAGAGCACCCAGAGCCCCCCGGGATTTACCCTGAGAAGGGGTGCAGCTGTTTTAGTGTCCCGTGAGGACCTTTCTCCCACCCTGCACCCACCAGGCTCAGAGGGATCGTCACCTCAGCCCCCCCCGTTGCAGCCAGGTACCATTTGGGGTGACCCTTCGATCCCTTCCACCTCCTCCCAGCCCCAACAGAGGCCACCCCACTGCCAACCAAACCCTGCCGCTGCAAGAGGGGGGACGAACCCCTCCCCAAGGGGATCTCATCCCCCCTAACCCCACCCTGGCAGCCCAACTCCAGCCCCATCTCTAGACCCCAACCTTCAGCCTTACCCCTCTCCCAGAGTATGCTGCATCCTCAAGCACCCCTAACCCCTTTCGGGGGGTCCCAAACCTCCTGAGGACCTCGCTACCCCAACAGACCCTCCCCCGAGGGGGTCCCAGCTGGCCCTGCTGGGGCTCTCAAATGTCCCCAGCCCCGCTGTGTGACCCCCCGGGGGTCCCGGGCCCCATCCGGCCCCTTGGCCCCGCCCCCTGCGTGCTCAGGCCACGCCTTTATTTCCACCCGCCAATCGCAGGGCGGCATCTTCCATTGAGCCACGCCCCTTG